CCCGAATTCGGCCTTTGTTGTTCCCAAACGTCATTTTATCAAAATTAACCACACACTTCCTCTGTAGTAAGTAGTCCAACCCAAATATGCATTGGTCTTCAATGTTAGCCAAGTATATTTTGTGTCTGTCCTTCATGAGCTCAATAGTTACCCACACTGGTCCCCACAACCTTGCATAATGTCCTGTCACACCACAGAGCTTCTGTATGGCTTCTGGTACTCCTTTGTGATCCAGCATCTTGATACTCACAAGGGTTTGCTGAGATGCAGAATCTGTGACAAAGTTGCATTTTTGGCCATCCAGCTTTTCTGTCACATAGATACTATGTGTGCTTGCCATTTTACACTTACCCGCTGGGACTTTCACAATGGGATTTGGTGGGCTTCCCTCAACACCAACCACTACTGCAACTCTGTGAAAGGTTGTGGCATGCTCACTTTGACCTACCCAAAGTAGTGAATGTAACTCTGTGAAAGGTTGTGACATGCTCACTTTGACCTACCCAAAGTAGTGAATGTAACTCTGTGAAAGGTTGTTACATGCTCACTTTGACCTACCCAAAGTAGTGAATGTAACTCTGTGAAAGGTTGTGACATGCTCACTTTGACCTACCCAAAGTAGTGAATGTAACTCTGTGAAAGGTTGTGACATGCTCACTTTGACCTACCCAAAGTAGTGAATGTAACTCTGTGAAAGGTTGTGACATGCTCACTTTGACCTACCCAAAGTAATGAATGTAACTCTGTGAAAGGTTGTGACATGTTCACTTTGACCTACCCAAATTAGTGAATGTAACTCTGTGAAAGGTTGTGTGACATGCTCACTTTGACCTACCCATTGTAAGATGTTTAATACACTACTTATTACAATTCAGTATTGATATTAAACTGTTTATGTAATCTATAATTTCAAAACTTAAAACATTTAATTCTTAAAAATACAATTTTACTAGAATTCATCTAGTGTCAAAATAGTTTCATATCAACATATTCAAAGCCTTTAATGACAAAGTGAATAGTTACAAAAGTTGTACTGATATTAATTTTATTCTATAATTTTAAGTCAATTACCACTGCTTTAATAACTTACCTATAATTTTCAAAGTTAGCTCATTTTTTAACCAGTATACAGTTTTGGTTTTCATGTTTGTTTGATTTTGTTTTTTCCATGTGTCACCAAAGCTCTGGAAGAAATGAAGATACACCAACATTCTCTGCAGAGCCTTAGTTGTGAAAGTAGCAAATATTCTGTGTAACATGTTTAACAAACATCTACTGCCCCAAGAAAAAAAGCAGAATGGTTTTAGAAAGTTATCACTCAATTTTTTTGTCGTGGTTATTTCCTGAACAAATATAGTGACTCATTTGGTTTGTCATCTATTATTAATGTAGAAAATCAAGACAGGCTAGTTTCATTAACAGTTTCTCAACCACCAGTCTGCAGTCCATCAGTTATCATCGATCCATCACAACCACCTTGCTGGTACATGTGATTTTGTGAAAACAAACAAAAACTGACAGAATATTCGTATGCTGATCATAATGGTTTTCCATTGTACTTGCATTTTAGTGGTCCAAGACAGCTTACGGAAGTATTGAGCCTATCCCTGGTATCAAAGAGGTTGAGGTATGCTGGACTGTAACATTATATTCCTATGCGGATAGAACACTGATTGTAATCAAAGAATACCACCTGAATGTTACATATTTTCATGCATGATGTTCTACTTTTTCTTACAACTTATGTAGTGTAAATATATTCAGTCTATATTGTAATAACTAATTCATAAAAATTGTTGAATTGTGCTTTTTCCATTTCTTACTATAAATTTTCCTGTTTTATATATTTCCATGAATAGGACTACCTGACTATCATGAAAAGATTCAGTTGGTAGTTTCAAAGTTTGAATGAGCTTTTTGTTGCTTCTGGTTATGGGCCATTAATTTTCTTGCCCAAATTATTTTACAATTTTTGTGTGATTATGCTCTTAGCTTTTAGTGACTGAATTACAGTATAACTGTAAGAAGGCTCCCAGAAGTACAGCAGTATGTCTCCAGACTTACAACACTAGAAACGGGGTTTCGATACCTGTGGTCGGAAGAGAACAAATAGCCCATTGTGTAGCTTTGTGCTTAATTACAAACAATGGAAAACTACAGGAAGAAATACAAACTTAAAACAACTGAGTTATATTAGACTAAACCTCCGTTGAGAATCATTACCTTCGATTTATGAGGAATAGTATTGAAAATTATCAGTTCTAAGTTGTAAAAATTCATCCTGAAAGAAAATAACTTATGTTGTTTTTTTTCCTTAAAGAGACATTAGACCGTGTTTTGTGAAAGATGAATCTGTTGCTGTCAGTATTGTTGAATTGTACTTGAAATTCTAAAATTATCAGTATTTTTTGTTAAGTTATTAAGTGATCCAAATACCGAAAAGTTTTTCTTAGGAGGGGTCAAAGAAGCTTATTAACCCTTTAAGTACACACTGTTTTTTTCAGTCATATGCTCAAAATCATCATCAGATAAGTCAGGTTTGGAGCCATAATTATTTTCAGCTTTCACAAGTTCAATTATCTCTTCAAATGTGAAAAACAATGGAGCAATTTAATACCATTTTGGGTCAGTTTTCTCATAAAAATTAAAATTCAACTGCAAATATTACTGATGTTTTGAACAGCAACATACATCATTTGGATGTGAATCAGTGGCTGAAATCATCATCTGATTAGGCTTTTGTATATTGACTTTGTGCTCTTGATTCACATTTCTAGCAGGAAATTCAAACACATTATGGAGTCACCATATGGTGACAGGTGGACCGAAAGGGTTTATCCCTAAATTCAAGATTTCAAATATATTATATAATTTCATATAAGCTGTTGTCTTTATGGGAAAGATTAACTTGTAACAGGCAGTGCCCTTAGTGCTAATTGTTGGAGTTTCAATTACACCAAATTGATTTAGTTGGGGATTACAGTCGCGAGTGGAGCTCACAAGTCGCTAACTCGAGGTAATTTACCGTTAGAATAAAGAAACGGATACCAAAACTAACATTGAACAAAATATAACAACATTTATTAAATCTTTCCACACATGTAATACACTGTTAATATCAATACTTAAAACATTTACTAAACCATTAGTTTATAGCAACTTTACTTTTCACCTTTCAGTTAACAAGCTTCCTTTACCTACGTTAATTGATCAAGAGAGATAACAATTCTATACTTACAACAGAGTTGGACTGGTATACTTCTGGAGATTTGAGACTTTCATATTCATAGAATGCTGATAAAAATCGAACAAGACTGAAGAACTTCAGACATGAGTTTTTAACCCATATTTTCTTTGTATTCTGTTAACCTTCCAAATAGTGTTCCTAACTACCCGCAAGTAGTTCTAACACTTCATTGGTCAATTTGTGCAACTTCCCGGGCTAGTCCAAAACCATAACCAAAACTCTCAAGCGATTGGTTACTGTTATGGTGAGTTAGCTGGTTGCCTTCTCACTTTTACTAGTACACCAGCGACTTATAAGGAATATATCCTCAAAGTACCGCTTTTGCATGTTAACATCAACTTTTTTGTACCTTCCACAGTAGTAACGAGTTTGTGTCAGTAATTAATCACTGCCAATCATTTATGCTAGTGTTTTTCTCAACATCTCCAATGTAGCTTCATTTTTTATAACTCTTTAAGTTGTGATTCTCAATACCACTTAACCAGCTAGCTGTATTTTCTTAGCTATTGACTTTATTTCATAATACAGGCATCTTTACGTACGCCATTTCTTCATGTATGTGTTCACTTAAAAACTCAGAAAATTGCTATAACGTCTTTCTTAAACTCTTTGAAAGTCGCTTAGATACTGAAGCACTTGTAAAATTTCCTCAAAAATATCCAATTGCTTCAAACTCGAGATCTTTACAGAAATGTTTTTCTACAGCTAGTATATTGAATTTATCTATGAATGCACAGGTCTGAAATTTGGTTGTTTGTAGATACCTTTGTGGTTTGAGAACACAATATATTAGATTTTATACCTTTCCCAGACACTGCTACATGATATTGAAATTAAAAACTGAGTTCCTTAAAGTATGAATATCTTCTAACAGCTTTAAGTGTGAGATTCAAGTTGACTACAATACATATTTTTCACTCTTTACAAACAAAACCAACATATTTTTTAAAGAATTAAATTGATTATTATGTGAAAATTAATTTTAATCATTTCTTCTATACTTGCCCTGAGGTCATAAGAAGCACATTTGGGAGTAAAAAAACTCAAGTTAGTTTTAGTCCTTGCTGTGTAATGACCACTTAAACTACATGTAAAATGTTTACACTAGTCATAAAATGGACATTAAGTGTATCTGAATTAGTTACTTAAAAACCTTTTAACACATCAGTGTACAGAAAGAAACTATATTTGAAAAGTATGGTGTGCAAGTTCCTCAAACTCACTCTTAGGCTAATTTTTTGTAATTTTACATTTGACGAGTGCTTGCAAAAAAGAAGGAACAAGTCAAAATGGGTTGTATACATACCCAACAACCAAAATTTTATTGTCAGTCTCAGCTATATGAAATATTTGAATATAATAAAAGTTCTTGTAAAACAAAGCATAAAAAGAAGGTATTGAAATATGCACACTGATGTGTCAATGTGTACAGCATAAAAGAAAGTGTAAAAACATGGTATTGATATACGCACACTAATGTGTCAATGTGTACAGCATAAAAACAAGGTATTGATATTTGCACACTGATATATATTGATGTGTCAATGTGTGCAGCAACAATATTCTAATGCAAGCCTATTAGCATATAAACCCACAATAAGAGATGAAACGAAAGACAGAAGAAACATTTAATGTTTTTGTAGAAAACTGACAAGGAAAGAAGCATTGTACTGAGGACTTTCTTTACAGTCCTGTTACCAAGATATCAAACAGAAATATGTGGCCAACATGTCTATATTTTTTGGCATAAAGAAAGGTAAAATCTTTATTATTAGTTAACGTCGACTAGTTTCGGTAATACAGTTACCATAATCAGGGCTATTATCTAACTGTTACTGAAACTTGTGGAATGTAACTAATAATGAAGATTTTACCTTTCTTTGTGCCATAAAACATTGGTTTTTGTTTATTACTCTTAATATAACTTATGACACCAAATAATAATAAGTGTAGTTGTAGTTATGTACTGTATCCATGTTGGTAACCAAAGGGTTAAGAACTTGTCAGTGGCATAAATATGCATTAATACTCGCAATACAGTATTGATCTCTGAAACCAAAAAGTAACTTTTCAATAACATAAACATTGAAAATACTATGTTTTGTCACATTTAATACCGTAATACATGAACTGTGCTGTCATAAGGTGTTTTCTTCTTTATATTGTTAACTTGTATGCTAAACAGCCATAGCTGTTTTTGAGTTTTATTTCAGCTTTGTTTTTATATCTTTCTTATTATCTTAGCTCTCAAACAAACACATTTTAAGACTGTACTTAATCACACTAAGGATAGAATAAATATATTGGTAGGAAGTTGAGTAAACAAAACTCAATTAAAAGGTGGTCTGCATATCCACATATTTAGCTTTAAGATGAAAGTATATACTCAACTGACTTAAAACGTTTCAAAAACAAGCCAGTAAGGCTTACAAAATGTATATTTAAAATTTGGGTTTCAAATTGAAAACTGGCCAATATAGGCACATTTATGTAAGAAAATGATAGTTGATCATCTTGTCATAGGAAATTATTAGCGTCATGTTATTATACAGTTGGAGAAAGAGTTAATAATGAGTTAAAGGAGACATTTTGCAACTATACACCTGGAAAAAAGTCAAGCACCCCCGTGTTTTTTTCAAGTGATTCAGATTCGACGTTCTTGTGACTGATTATAAATTACCATTCAATCTAAACGTGTTTATCAAATGAAATTATGCA